GACTGGCAGCACTGGGGCCTGCAGCAGCTGGACACACAGCAGCTGGGGCGGCAGCAGGTGGTCCTGCAGCAGGTGGTCTGGAAGCAGCTGGGCTGGCAGCAGCCTTGGCCACAGCCCTCCTCAGAGCAGACAGAGCCACAACAGGAGTTGACCATGGTGTCAGAGGTGAAGGTTCTAGATGGGTTTTCAAGAGAGTGAAGGTTTGGAAATCTCCTTGCCCCCACACCCTCTTTTATACCCCACTGAACATCTCATGTGCCTATGTCATCATTTCCTTATTAATATTTACCTTCTTGGAAAACGTAATCATTTAATTACATAATTGTAATGTTTCTGGTTAAATGCTCCAAAAGAAAGAAAACAAGACATTTTCTATTCTTGGGGCCCTCGTGTTTGCAACTGAAATTCTGGTCACATTTTTCCCGTAGTGGGTCACCTTTGTCCCTTTTACAAATAACTTGTCACATGACTTTCTGGTATTTTGTTTTCTAAATGTGACTTTCCCTCTGGTCTGTACACTGTTCCTTGCAAATCATGGAAATGTTTTTCCACAAATTCCAGTATGTCTTTTGTTGTCAAAAAATGTTTTATCCTGATGAGAGTCAGGAAGAAAATTATAAGGAAAGACCCTTTAGAGGGAGGCTGTCCCATCTCTCACGGGGATGATGGTGATTTCCTGTGTCCATTAGAGGATCACAGAGATGGTCAGACCTAAGAAAGTTCTAAATTGTAACATTTCAATCTAACCTCTCCAACTGAAGAACCTGGCAGTGGTTCAACCACTTAGAAATAATAGAAACTAGTTTTTTTTTTTTAATGTCTTGCTAGAGAATGATTGAGAGTGGGAAAATTTTATTTATCTTTTAATTGTGAAACTGCATAGTAGATTTTCAGTCACTAAGGCATTCAAAAAAATTTATAAGGTAGGCCCTATACATTTATCTATCTACTTATTTATTTGTTTGTTTCTTTGTTGTGTATATGCGTGTGGGCACACCCACCCACCCACTGTGCAGAGTACCAGGGCTAGAACTCAGGTCATCAGGCTTTATCAGTTGAGTCACCTTGCTGGTCTGAATTATATGTATGTCTATCTATACACATATGATATTTTGAGTTTCTAACTTTGACAATATAAATGCAAAAGTTTCTGCTGGCTATTCTAGGCACAGAGAGGGCAGCCTCTCATTCCTTTCTTTAAGTGATTGGATAAGACACAGGCAGAGGGAACTATTTGGCACAAAATAAACAATTCTAACGACTTCAATGAGAAAACTAAAATTAAAATATGTGGATGTGTTCCATGTGCTCTTGGTGGGGGTGTAGTTTGTAAAATATTGCTGTGGATCAGACACTGTGTGGATTCTACATGTGGGGGTTATAGTTTGTAACACGTCACCACGTGGCAGGCATTGTGTTGGTTATATTGTATTTCTTTTGTTTTTAATGGAGTTCTGTGAAATGCTATTCACAGAACATCTTCTTTTGATGGAAGAGCTTAAAGAAGCACAGAGAGGCTAAAATCACAATATCTGTCCCAAGAGGAAACACAGAGTGAGCTGAACCCACATCTAAGTAGCAGAGGAAGAATCAAGTTTGCAAACCTTTGCTGAACGAGCTTCATCCTCTCGGAATGCTACTCATTGGCAAGCCCTCCCTCACCCAGCAGGACTCATCGGAGATGCTTCCGCCTGCACGGTGTCTGTCCTGATGAAGGGCCTCTTTACATGTCATGAGTTCCTCCATCATGCTTCTAGCTTAGCACATTTTACTCTATCATAGCAGTTTGTGGAGTGGGTGGAAATATAGGAGCAGGCCATTTTACATATTAGAGAAAAAAAAACAACAGAAAACAGTTAAAAAATAAACCACTGTCCTCTTTGAGAAAAATTACATTTATGTATATGTAATCCATTTTTTTAGTCAAATATTCATATAGCTTATGAGGCATTTATAGTGGTGTGTCACCAGATAAAGGCTATGTGTAGAAAGCTGCAGAAAACTTGATTTGCGGAGGGGACCTTGTTTGCAGATGCTCATTAGTGCTCAAGTTACATATTTATAGCCACAAAGTGGAGGGGTGGGTAGGAAGAAGGCGCTTACCAAACCATAACACCTGTTTTCTTTTGTCCCTGGACTTCCCAGTTTTACTTTTACTGCTGGGAAAACTCTCAACTAGACAAAACTATATCTGAACCCTGTACAAAGACCCTATCTCAGAAGGTACAAGAGAGGCATTGGAGGAAATGGTCAGAAAAGGAGAAAAAAAATCCAAAGCATTTGTATTCAGGACAGGATTATGCTATGGGCAAAAGCTAGGCGGGTGAGCGAATGATGTTTGTTCATTCTGTGTATGAATGCGTTTAATAAGGCTGTAATGCATGCCGATGGATCTTGAAAGACATTACAGATGACTCACTAAGGGGAATTTGCTTTTGGTCACGGATTCTTGTGTTGTTTTACATTTTAGAGGGGGGAGGGGATTCTGTAGAAAAGAATAAATGTTACTTACATAAACTTTATAATTTTCTTCATGGAGTATTGCCACATGTTTCTGCCATTACACTTATATTCTCCTAGCACTGAAAGATCGAACACTTATTTCTTTTTTTTTTTTTTTTTCCAAGACAGAGTTTCTTTGCGTGTCCCTGGTTGTCCTGGAACTAGCTCTGTAGACCAAGCTGGCCTCCAACTCAGTGATCCACCTGAGTGGAAGCAGACAACATACATTAGTCAAACTTCCAACAGAAATAAAATGGCATTGATTGAAACCTAGTTTTCTCTAGAAAGTCTTCTTTGTCTCAGGCAAATTAATTATTTTGTAGTTGTTATGGGAAGTTGAAGTGATGGCGCAGCCATGAATATGTACCAGGGAAAATTATTGGGGAAGACTGAATACAACCTACACCACCTTTCAGACTCGGGGGGGGCGGGGCTTGATAAAAACAGCCAATGAATGGTTTAGCAAAACCACTCCAGAATCAAGCGTGGTGAACCTTTTCTCCATATGCATGCTTTATGAGGGCTGATTGTCAGTGGGGCCTTCATCCTCCTGTATAGAGAGACCACTTCTGAGGCAGACAGGTGATGTGGATGAGGGCTGGGTGAAGCCCATGGCTATTGCTGGAAGTGGTGACTTTTCGCCAAAGCTGTCCTTTTTCAGGATGGCATGCTAAAGAGTCACATTCCCCTCCTCCATTTATAGATGCTGTGAACATGTCATTCCATGCTCTGAATCCCCCAGAAGACCGACCAAGCCTGCCCATGAGGTAGCCTTCCAGTTTGGTTTTTTTCCTCAGTAACAAATCCCACTCTCCTTCCCGCCCGTCTTCCCCCCCTTCCCCGTGAGAGCTAATCTACAGAACATCTCCATGGACCTCCAGCATGCTGAGCTCTGTCTCAGCATGAGCTTCCTGGAGATTTCCACCTGATCCCCAAACCATTCAAGACAGAAGACCAGAGAGCTGGAACCATTCATTAAAATGAGTGTTCAGTCAGGCGATGGTGGCACTCGCCTTTAATCCCAGCACAGGGGAGGCAGAGGCAGGTGGATCTCTGTGAGTTTGAGGCCAGCCTGCTCTACAAGGCAAGTCCAGGATGGCCAAGGTTATACAGAGAAACCCTGTCTCAAAACAACAACAACAACAAAAATAATCTAAAACATAATTTAAAAAAAAAAGACAAAAAATATAGTAACTCAAGAAGTATATGCAAAGGATTCAAGGCTTCTTTCTCTCCTTTTTTGTAAGTTTAATATTTACTCTCCCTGTCTTTCTGTGTTTGCAGTTGCCACAGCATGCATGTAATCAGAGAAGAACTTGTGGGAGTCAGTCTCCTCTTACCATGTGAACGCCAGGTTTGGAACTCCAATCATCAGGTTTGTTAATTAAATTCCTTCGTCTGCTGAGCCATTTCACCCTCCCCCCCTTTTAAAATTTACATATTCTTTTAAAGAAAGTAACAGTCACATTCAATTTTTAGCATCAGTGTGTTGAACGTTTATTTTTGTTACACAGAAATACCAAAGTATGAAAATCTTTACAAAAGCTATAAAAGACACTATTGGATTTTAATGTCAGAAGGGTTAAAATGTGTGCTTGTGTGCTTGACAAGAGCCAGGGATAATTTAAATTCCTCCAACATGATGAGTAGATAAAAATACAAGGTGAGGCACGTTGGGAGAGAGCTGTTAAGTTACTGAGAGGTTTTTGATAAATTAATTCTAAGAGGAAGAACTTTGGACAGAAGTCAGAATGTGCACACAGAACAAGTGCAAATGAGACTGACTTGTGTCAAGTCCCTCGAACATGACACATTTTCCAGAAGAAAGGACTTCATTAGTAGAGACTGAGGAGATTAATGGTCCAATCAAAGAGAAGATTTAGCAGCAGGGGATGGCACAGCACATGGGTTGGGGACAGGTGGAGATGACACAGGTGGGGTGGTAGCAGGTGGTCTGGCAGCAGACCTGACCACAGACTGGACGAAGGCAGCAGCAGGGACGGCAGCAGGGGCGGCAGCAGGGGCGGCAGCAGCTGGAGCCACAGCAGCTGGAACCACCACAGGAAGGTTGACAGCAGCTGGAGATGCAGCAGCTGGGCCTGCAGCAGCTGGGGCGACAGCAGCTGGGCTGACAGCACACAGACTGACAACAGCTGGGTCTGCAACAGCTGGACACACAGCAGCTGGGGCGGCAGCAGGTGGTCTGGCAGCAGATGGGCTGGCAACAACCTTGACCACAGCCCTCCTCAGAGCAGACAGAGCCACAACAGGATCTGGTCATGGTGTCTGAAGTAGAGATTCTGTGTGGGCTTAAAAGACGTTGAGAGTTCCTAGTTTGGTCTCTTCCCTTGCTGCCTCTTGCTTTTTATACCCTGCTGAGGGCTACTAACCATGTGACTCTTGTTTATACTGCAGAAGATCAGTTAGTTTCAGTTAATTATTTGTGCTGATTTATATATAGAAAAGGCACTTCTTCCTTTTCCTGCTTTATTCTGAGCTATCTAATTTGGCAAAGCCAAGAGAATCGGCTTTTCTTTTCTCCTTTGATATATCCCCTAAAGTAGACACAGTCTGCTTTGTCTCCTCGGGTTGAGTGATAATTCTTTATTTCATGTCTTATCCTGGGTAATATGCTCAGAATGGACCTTATGGTGACTGTATCTCTAGCAGCAATAGGTTAGAAGCAGGTTCTCTGGGATCCTGGTAGGAAAACAGATTGAAATCTTGGTATTTTGGGGGGTATGAAGGAGGTAGCTCACAACTAATAAAGAATATTGTATTTCTCACATGGTCAGTCTGGTGTGAGCAAGCTGGGCAAAGGTCCTAGCAATCTTGTCTTAGTTAATCTCTCCCAGGTGAAATAATTTTGCAGTGATAATTACTTTTGAACAACAAACACTTGTTAGCACGATGGGTCTTTAAAAATTATTAAATTCCTAGGGTCATGTCTTTCAGAGTGGGGGTGACTTGAAAGCACAGTTTGATCAACAAAATGTCTTGGTAAGTCAACAAACCCAATGAGTATGTGCAAATAATATTCTTAATACATTTTCTGCATGCATAAAATTTCCAAAGAATAAATAAAAAATATTTTTAAAAGCCATGTCTTTTCCATAGTCTGAGTTATTCCTCCTCAATAATATATATTGGAGAAATACTTGCGGAAAATAAGATAGAAATAAAGGCATAAACTCTCATCTGCATTCTACAAATGATTAAGGGGACAGGATACATGAACTGTAAAGATCTTGTCAGTTATTCTTGGGGTTGTTGGATTAGTCAACAAAATAACAATTACATATTTAAATCTGAGCATTCCCAGTGGAAGGTGAGATAACCCTGACAGTCAAAATTTTCTGAATACCTACTGTGTGCCAGAAATGTTTGAAGTCCTCTGTGATTGTTATCTTAGCTAACATTTCTTGAGGACTCTGAGAGGTGGTCACAATTCTTGTTAATTCCTTATACATGAGGTAACTGAGGTCCCAAACACAGGGACACAGCCAGTCCCTCAAAGAATATGAAGAATGACAATCTGGCATCCTTTTTCACACCTAATTTTATTTTCCTAAAATGTTTTCTTCTTTGTCAAACTTGCAAACTCTCACACACCCTTCAGTGTCCAGGACAGCTCATTTCTGATCTTCTTTTACAATTACTACACCGAAATGAAACTTCCTTTCCCTATTGCCTCTGTCCTAGGGTATCACATCCTATCAGAATGGTTTTGTTTTATCCCCTTTCCGAGGTAAAGGCTCAAAGGCCTTAGTCTCAAGGAAATGTCTCACTTACATTCATTAGTTTGGTGCCCAATCATGAGTGAGAGGGCAGTTGAGTGACTATGGGATTTATTAAAAACTAAAGCGCTTAGAATGATGAGGTAATCTAGTTGGGTAGAGAAGGAAGAAAGGACCATTCAGATAATGAACACGGGTATGGATATTCTATGTTTCAGCCTTTGGTGGGCTCAATAACCTGCCCAATCCTGTCTGTAGATTGCAGAGAAAGACAATACTCAGTGAGTATAATGGAGAGACTTTAAGGATTTTCTTGAATTTATACTGAGCAGCATCCAGGCCTTGCAAGTGTTTGGAAGTGTGAGAATGCCTGGGAGCAGGAAGAACATTGAAGTGGTGGTTATATTATAGGGTGAAAGGTGAGTGCCCATCTAGGGTTGTAAGGATAAGCGAAGACAGGAAAAGCGTTGGTGCAATAGACGTTTCTACAAAGTTAGCGAGAGTTACGTACAAAGCCAGTGGGGATAGACAGAGCCTCATCATGTAAGAAGGGTCTCGTTTTAGTATGCTTTGGTTTCATGCATGTGAACCTACACACTTTTGCAGTGAACTATCCTTCCTGATAGTTTTGGCATGAACAAGTGAACGTTAGTAATCAGTAATACATGCTGTACTTCTATGAAGGTGTCAAAGAACAAAGTCAATAAAAGTTTAGAAATACTGCATACTAAGCCATCACAAACAAGCCCCGCCACCAAGGCCAACTTGACCCTGCTGCCTAGGCCAGGTGTGGGACCTGCTCTCCAGAGTGATGCAGCCACTGAGGGACAGGGCCAGTTCTTCCACTCTCAGCCCATCTCTCCCACCTACCGTAGGTAGCAAGGGATGAGGGAGGGGAGGAGGGCATCTCTCTCTGGTCCATGCTACTGTGCAGCAGACAAGAGTCTGGGATAGCTCTTCTGCACTCAAACCCTCGGGCTGGCTCATCTGAAACCCCCATGTCCAGGGCCAGCTCTATTGTGTTGCTCAGGCGAGGTTCAGGGCCCACTCTCCTGAGTGCTATAGCAGGTGAGGGGCCGGGACAGCTCTCCAGTTTCACTACCCCAGGGCCAGCTCTCTCACTTGCTTCCACTTGGCAGACAAGTTGCAGGACTAGCTCTCTTATGCTCACACCTTCGGGCTGGCTCACCTGCACCCTCGCCTTTAGAGTCAGCTCCGCTGTGCTGCCCAGTGAGGTCCAGGGCTTGCACTCCTGAGCGCTGCCGCAGGTGAGGGACAGGGACAGCTCTCCTACTTTCACAACCCTAGGACCAGCTCTCCCAAGATGCCTAGGCAATGGGTGGAGCCAGCTCTGCACAGACCTCAGACATCAACATGGCCCTAGGTGGCAGCCCAGACCAGGGACTTCTGCCTGTCCTTTGGTGGTAACAGACCTCGGCTGCTGCAGGGCCATGGACCCAAATGTGGTTCTTGGTAACAGCAGGAGCCAGAGCCTCACCATGGCCTTAGGTGGTATTGCTGGCTACTCACATCAGTCTGTTCCTCATTATCCTCAAGGCTCCAGCTCTGCCTCTCTTCAGCATGCACACGTCCTTCTGTTTCTCTGTCTCTTTCATGGCTCATCTTAGTAGCACCCGAGGCCTTTATGTGTCTGAAGTCATATTAGGAGTGCTATGCCCCACCTGTGCCATGAGGCACCAGGTGGACATTGTCTAGAGAGTTGTTCAGACCAACCTGGCCATTTTGAGTATGTTTTTATTATTTCTCTCTCTCTCTCTCTCTCTCTCTCTCTCTCTCTCTCTTTCCTAGAGAGGGAGGACACAAAGTTTGGTGGGAAGGGAAGTGAGGAGGATCTGAGAGAAGCAGAAGGAGATGAAAACACTGTTGAAATATTTGGTATGAAAATTTTTAAATAAAAAAAGAGGAAAAAAGACTAGCCAAGTAATTAAAAAAATAACCTCATTGATTTTTGAGATGGAAGGATTACCTCTAATCAAATAGAATTGAATATTTAAAGTTAAAAGTAAAGATTAGAAAAAGATCAGCTGCTTACGGTGAAAAAGATATTTTCTGCAAAGATGCATGAAAGTCGGGGGGAAAGTGTGAACATCAAGGCCTTGGAAATACTTGGAGGTGGAGGAATGACGGGAAGTGGGGTACATTGTACTCCCCCTTTGTGCAGAGTAAAAAAATAAAATAATAAGAGATGCTGCTTTTCATCATTAGGTTGTCAAGAATTCAATCTGAAAATATAGAAATGAGTATGTTTCTGACTTTCTTGTGAAGACTTGCCAACAAGCAGCATTATTGTGGACATGGCTATCCCAAATCTAAAGTATCTCCGTATACAACCCAGAAAAAAAATATAAAGGCAATTTTTTACAAGATTATTTGTATCAGTTCTATTCACAATGGGAAATAAAATAACAAAAACAGAACTGGACACAGCCCTGGGAATCCTTCAATAGGATGCTAAGTAATAAATGCTGGTACATTTCTGTAATGCAGCACTACTCAGCTGTAAGGGTGAATAGGGTGCCCCTCTCTGAGCTACTGTGAAGCGGCATTTTGTTAAGCGGTGGTAAAGCAAGTGTCGTAAACATCCATCACATTCTGTAGCATGCCTGAAGAGCCCAGATGCAAATGTAAAAATACCTGTGGCTGGACAGATGGCTCAGAGATTAAAAGCACTTGCTGCTCTTCTAGAGGACCTGGGTTTGAGCCTTCGTACTCACAGGGTCACTTACAAACATCATCAGTGTACATGCAGACACATGCATCACAGACACACATGCAGACAAAATACTGACACACACACACATGCACAAATATTAAAGGTACATACACTTGCTTAAATTTCTAAAAGAGGAAATAGAGGAAGTGAGGCTATAAGAAAGAAAGAAAGAATCTCCTCTCTAAGCCAAGATAGAGTAGTAGGTAGGGGTGAGCTTACTTGCTTGTATGAGACAAATGAAAAGCCAAACAGAAGGGGAACATGGGCTTGCAGATACTGGCCGTCAGGCAGGGCAGGAGACAGGGCCTAGTGGTAGGTGGCGAAGAGGAGAAGCCAAGAAGAGTGGGAAAGGGTCTTTCGTTAGCTTTCAAGACTGAGGCATCTGTGCCATCTTTAAACAAAAAGATATCCTGTCCTTCAACAATAACAAAAGAGATCTTTTTCTGCTCCGAAGAGCTCGAGGACATCCAGAGACCCAAGATCTTTAATTGCATGACCCAGATGCTACCATTCCATATCTCAGTGTCGTCTTTCCTAGTCAGGGGACTCTATCTTTGTGTAGCAGAACAGTTTAAACCAGAAGAAGAAGCATCCTGGGGCTTGGCTACTTTGAGCCATAGAATCACCTTCAACTTCATCTCTCCTCTGTTTGCAAATGCTTACACAGTAACATAAAGCCCCCATCTCCCCATTCATCCTGTGATATCACATTTGGCACTTTTAGCTTTCACTGTATTTTTTAAACCAATTGCCCTTAGCTACAGACATCCGAGTCTACTATCCCCGTAGTTACTATGAGATATTTGCATG